GCAGCAGGAATCCTGAGTTGTAGCTTTTGGCACTCCTTTTTCTTTTAAAGCGCTTGCTCTTTTCAGCTCCCTAGGGCTTGTTGCCTCCCTCCTTTCATTACCCTGATTATAATCTGGAGTAGCCACAGCAGAGACAGACGGAGTGGTTTTAAAGGAGCAGAGATGCTTAAGCAGGTGCCCAGGACTTCGGGCACCGGCTGTTACTACCTAAACTCAGTGTCACCTGAGGGCCAGGAGATGTACTTGCGATTCGATCAAACTGCCAGACGCCCTCCCTACAGGATGAGCAGGATTCTCGCCCGACACCAGCTACTGACGAAAATTCAGCAAGGTGAGTTACTGGCAGAAGCTCTCCTTAGCCTGGCATTGTCGCAGAGTCTGCAGGTCCCCTCCTTCGTAGGAGAACAAGTTTTAATGCCTCAAATTTCAGGCTTTTTTCCTGTCTCTATTCTGAGCTACTCTGGCTAGAGTCAGAGTTTGAAATAGTCATTCATACCTTTCTGTTTCTATACATGCACACATACACAGAGAACCAAGAGACAAACACTAGTGCATGATTAGCTGTTTAACTAAATTATCTTTTAATCATAAACTGTGCAGTAGCTTAGGTGCTGAAGTTCGTCTTTTCCGACTGGCAGAGCAGTTACTGGCAGAAGTACCTCTGCTCCGATTTCTACTGGTAAAATCTGCTTGTGGTAAAGCACAGAGAGAGAATAGATGATCATCCAGTTAAAAACAAAGCAGAAGTCCAGAGCGGCTGGAAGAAGGCAGCTGGGATAACATCCTTTGGAAACAAGCATGTGTACCTGTCAGAGGATTAGAAAACTTGTCACATGTCCTTAAAAATAATTGCTGACTTGGCTTTCTGCAGCTGCCTCTGCAGTTATCTAGACAGTCATTACACATGTATTGATTTTGGTTTTCTGAATATATATCGACAGCACTAAAGCTAAATGCAGATTGGCCTCAGAACAAATCCTTTGGCCTGTGTGTGGAATTTAAAATCATCTTCAGAATCGTTACTGCAAAGATAAAAAAAGAAAAGCTAACTGTACGGATTTTTCCAGATTAAAAAGGAAATCAATACATAGTTTTGTATTGTTCATAGTTTTGTATAGCGTCCTGTTTCCAAGAACACCAGTTTCCAAAGTGGATGGGGTCCTACATGCAGAAAAAGAGTATGTCGTGTACTTGTCATGAAAAAAAAAAAATAAAGTCCCGAAGATAACCGTCACTTTCTTGACAGCTTTCAAAAAGATGTTTGATTCTGCTGACTAGGGGCAGGCATAGAGTTAACATTGGTTACTGTCATATCTGGCAAATATCACAGAAATTGGTGCGAGCTTCTGACCAGCAGCAGTTAAATGGAGTGGCTATTTCTGTGTGCAGCTTTCCAGAAAGATTCTTTATATCCATGGCTCTCAAATTCTGGCAGAAGTACAGGGATATAGCGATGAAACTTCTATTGCGTTTATAAAGAAAACAATACATAATTCTTTGGCCAGCTTTTAAAAAAGATGAAAAAGATAGTTTCTGTGGCAATTAGGAAAACGCAGTTCTTTGCAAGGCAGTCTCAGGAACTGGTCATATTTGAAGGATACTGGTCTTCACTGCAGCTCTAATTTCAGGAAGGATATTATGTCATTCTGTGTACCCAGTGTACAGCCTGGATTGAATGGAAAGAAAGGGTAATTGATTTCTCTCCAGGTTTATTTGAAAATGTTTTGGGTGCAGTGCTAGTACCACCTTAATTTTCAAGCAGCAGCTGTGGATGAGATGGATTAACACAACTCCTCTACCTGTCATGGCGCTGTTTAATCTTCCCTCTTGTAACCCATAACCCATCAGCTGACCAGGACAGACAGGGCTTCCAAAGCCACCCAGCAGTGCCAAGGCTTTCCAGAGTCTGCGTGGTGGGACAGGGAGGAGTTTCCGAGCTGTAGCTTTTCTGCCTGCAGCTTGTTGCATGGATGGTCAGTCTGTGGTGAATAACCTCTGCTGCTCTGCCACAGCTTTCCAACCTCTCCCATCCAGAGCTGTCGGAAATGATGCTTGTATAGTGCCTTGATGATGTGATATATGTTACAGTTCAGTATATGAAATATTTGTGTATTTCGGATTGCTAAGAATGCATTGTTGATTCCTTCGCTTCTTTTATCGATGGAAAACTGGGGACAGAGTCCACTGTTGGTTAAGTGTGAGTTCATTAGCAATAATGAAATTATGTGTGCAAATAGACACTGATGTCTGTGTATGCGTCCATATGTAGGAGTATACAAATCTAGTGGAAAATCATATGCAAGGTACACATTTTTTCCACAGCGCCCCGACTACTGAATAATAATTTTGTTACAATAGCTGTGTTAGTAATACCAAGAAAGCTAAGTCTAGCTAGTATAACTCAATCTGAAACCTCCAGTTTACACTCTGGATGAAACCCTAGACCCATCAGAGTGACTGACAAGACTTTTAGGAGGGTTCGCCGGCTGAGCGTGTCTCCCTCTGTGCCTGCCTTATTCAGGCTGTAAGCGGTGTGAGGGTAATGCAGTCAATCCCAGTCCCAGCCCCAGCCCCGGTCCCAGAGGGTACTGGAAGAGTACTGTAATATGGATGGAGGAATCAGCCTGTCCCTTTAGACATGAGTGAGTTTTACCCCATTGGCAAGTGGGATTCATTACTAATGGAGTGCCACAGAGCAGCTCATCAAGAATGTATTGAAAAGTAAATCAGGAGATGCAAGATGAAAATGAAGACTTGCTTTCAGTCACCCAATTGAGTAAAGCATATAAATCATAATTTAATCTCCTTGAATTTGTATGTCCTTGAATCATACATTTTAAGGCCATTAGGACAATGCATTTGAATGCTGCTACCCCAATTCTTGTGTTAGCACCCCATCTAATCATTGTTTGAATTACAGCATATGTTTAGAAAAACATCCAGCCTGCATTTTAATATCACTAGAACAGTGAATCCTGCCTGGTTAATTGCTTTGCTGAAAACAGATCTGCCACATGTTTAAGTGCTAAGCCGCCTTGGGGCTTGTTTGAATACCTGCTCTCTGCTTCTTGTGCAGATATTTTTCAGTTGCTGGTTTTTCAGCTGGAGGCACCCACAGTAGGAAACACTGAAGTTTTTACATCAGGGATATTTTTCCTTAGTGAAAGGAATGATTTACAAAATCACAATGTATACAATTTACAATGTATAGAGCAGTCAAAGCTTCCATTCCAGGATAGGAGCCTGGTTCACTAATGCAGTGTAATACAAAGTGTTGCATATAGTTCTGTCTTTTCAGTCATTAGCTGCATGTACTATTCCAAATGATGGTAAATTACTCTATCATATTGTGCAATACATTTCTTCCTCCTTTAAAAACACATTTGCTGAAGAAGCTTTCCTTTGTATTTTCCTTTGGTGTTAGTTAAAAATAAACTAAATGAATCATTAGAGGAATTACTGTATTTAATCATTTCTAAAAAGAAAACCACCACAAGGGAAATGAAAGGAACTAGACTGTTATTTTAATCAGATCGTACTTTGAAAGTCCTAAATATTTGGTTTATGTACACCACCGACTCCTTCAGGCAGAATTATGTGGTGGCCTGTGAATGTGAGTGGTAATTATCTGTCTGATATTAAATAGGTATTTTCAAAATGTGATCTTTTGATGATTCCCTTTCCCCCATAAGCCCGTTAGTTTCCACGCTGAAGGGGACACATGCCTCAGCATAAAGGAACAGGGTGTAGCATGCTTGGTCTGAGGTATTTATTCAAACTGTGTATGCAGTAACTGGTATGAGAATTCGTTAATGATTACTCATGTTCTCTTTAAATAAGGTGGTGACTTTCAAGAATTTACATTACATAGAACCATAGAATCGTTTACGTTGGAAAAGGCCTTTAAGATCATCAAGTCCAACTGTTAGCCTAGCACTGCAAAGTCCACCACTAAACCATGTCCCTAAGCACCACATCTACACGTCTTTTAAATACCTCCAGGGATGGGGACTCAACTTCCCTGGGTAGCCTGTTCCAATGCTTAACAACCCTTTCCGTAAAGAAATTTTTCCTAATATCCAACCTAAACCTCCCCTGGCGCAGCTTGAGCCCATTTCCTCTCGTCCTACCGCTTGTTACTTGGCAGAAGAGACCAACACCCACCTCACTACAACCTCCTTTCAGGTAGTTGTAGAGAGCGATAAGGTCTCCCCTCAGCCTCCTTCTCTCCAGGCTAAACAACCCCAGTTCCCTCAGCCACTCCTCATAAGACCTGTGCTCCAGACCCTTCACCAGCCTTGTTGCCCTTCTCTGAACACGCTCCAGCACCTCAATGTCTTTCTTGTATTAAGGGGCCCAAAACTGGACACAGTATTCCAGGTGCGGCCTCACCAGTGCCGAGTACAGGGGCACAATCACCTCCCTGCTCCTGCTGGCCGCACTATTTCTGATACAAGCCAGAATGCCGTTGGCCCTCTTGGCCACCTGGGCATACTGCTGGCTCATATTCAGCTGGCTATCAACCAGGCAGCTTTTCCGGCAGTTAGCTTTCCAGCCACTCTTCCCCAAGCCTGTAGCATTGCATGGGGTTGTTGTGACCATGATGACATGAGTCACAAAGTTGTTATTTCTTTCAGAGTACATGGCTAAATTCAGTGGAGAACAGAAAATATAAAAAGTAGCTGTAGGTAAAAAGAAATGAAGAATTAAGGCCATACTCTGAAAATTTCAAATTGAAATCATTGACTGGGCAGCACAAGTAGAGTCTTAAGTCAGGATGCATGAAGCCACATCTGCCCCTGCACAGCTAGGCGGCACTGGTAAAGAAATGTCCCCATTCATCTACAGTAGAACTTGATTCTTAGACTGCACTTTCAGTAAGAAAATAATATGAAGAAATAAATGAAAATAAGACAAATTCCTATTCTCAGTGAGTAAATTCCTGCCCACAGCGAGTAACGCTCTGTGATTTGTCTCAGTTCACGTCCACAGGCAAGAGCAGCTGAAGAGAATCGTTCGATGGAGTGATCTCAAAGCATACTATAACTGTTCAAGGCAAACTCTCTGTTCAGCACTCAGCCGATGTTTTACACTCTCATACGCTGCAAGTTCAGTTTTGATCTTTTGTGAGTAGTTACCTCCGTGTCACCTGTGTTTGGTTTGAGCAAGTGTTAGAGGTACAAACAAGTGTTCTTTTCTGTCTACAGTCTTCCGTTTGGAGCTACTTCCAACAGGTTTAAGTCTTCTCTTTTCTAAGCATGAGTACAGTTTGTGGAAAGTGTTACAGAGGGATGCAAGTGACTTGGCAAAAAATAGTGCATTTTACATGGC